GGATGCGTTATAAGCAACCATCATCCACCGTACTCTGCTTGCCATGTAAAGCTCAGTTTGTCGAAGTCCTTGGATGCGTTCCGATATCACGTCTTGCAGGCCAAGCATCTTGACGTTCTTAATGGCACTGATAGCGGCACTTGTCATAGAAATGCGGTTCTGCGTCGCCTCATTCCATCCACCTTGCCTCGATCGTAGGTTTCTAGCGACATACTGACTAACACGAGAACATACTGGAGGTACTTTTTAGTGATTAGGAAGGATAGGTGAAGTGACTTCGACTTACGGAAAATGATAAAAAGGGGCACGGGGGACACCCAACCGACTTCCCAAGATAGCATCGCGATCCCAATGGCAACTTCGAAAATCTGTCCCCAAGTTTCATGGAACATTTCGCCAATTGTGTCGAGGTTATCCACGTCAGTACTTGTAAGCGTCAAGACCTTGCCCTCGCTCACACTTTCGGCGTAGGAGTTCATAGTTTTATCGTGAATCAACGCTATGAGAGCGGCCCGTATCATTACTCTCAGTTTATTGAGGTGGCTCTGATAAACCGTAGTAGAAATCTAATTATAGGCTTAGAGGTAGTTGACCATCTCATCACTTTTGCGGAGGCTTACAGCTAGGCCGACGTAGACGACAACTGCAGCCGTAATAAGACTGTGCGCAGTCCATGTCTGATTTGACGGCTTATTGCTGGTAACGTATTGGATACTTTGACGGATGATAATTGGTTGCGAATATCGGAATAAAGTGAGGAAGAGTCGCGGTGGTATGGCCAACAAGAATGGCCTTTTAAGAGACACGAATAATACTTTTGGGAGTGTCATCCTGCTCTCGGGTCTTACTATGTAGTCGCCTTAGAATTAGCCAGTAGTTGGCTTTTGATATAAACCAAAGCACGTACATCTTTGCTCCCATGCGCGTATTGCTGCAGTACGAATGGGCTTCGATAGCAACTTCGTGTCGATAGAAGGCAAACTAGTGTTTAGAAGGACATTTTGATATCCTTCCACGAGAACTGGATTGATCCACCAAAAGAATATCCTGCCAAAAAAGCCAGATTTTTCCTCGGACGATACATAATGCCCCGAGTACTCTTTCGTTAGTTCCTTTTGGAGGTTTTCGGTCGCAAGTAGAGCAGCCTCTAGAGTTATCTGCGCGAGAATTGGGTCTTGCATAAGCCAACTACGCTGCCCTTGGGACTTCCTAGATACCTCAAGGACATCCCGAATAATACACGCGGTAAGATATAGAGTGATTATTCCGGATGGTTGAATACTTCGCCAATGTTCAATCAATGACAAAACACTGAGCACGAGAACCGCAGTAACCTCTAGACCCTGAGAGACACGGACGTAGCTGCTATTAGGCGTCAAATCCCCCAATGCAACAAAACGCCCTATGCTCGATAAAATGAGAAGACTGAACAGAAGCTACCATGGATGTCAGTCTATAGATGCTATGCTGGTTGTAGTGCTTATCTTCACCCACCATCTTCACCCGTCCTAGGAAGCCGGAGATAACAACGACAGGAGCTCGGCGCAAACTCCATACGCGGAGGAGCGCCAAGGACAAGAACAAAATTGAAAGTAGCATCGAGCAGCTAGCGTTCGCATACTTAGCGCTCTCGAAGAGAGCCATCGTTGAAGATGGAAATCACTTTCGGATAAGTAAAATCGTGATGTGATGTTGTAGCATTTAAGAAATCCGTCAGCAATGTTAATACGTGCCCTGGCCAATTGAATCACGCAATCGATTACCAGGGGCCAGTGCTCTCGTATTCGAACGCCCTTGACCTTCCCACGTATTCAACAGCATCATGCTTCTTCCCAAACGGGACATGATCACGCCTCAAATAGCATGATGATTGGCTCAAAGGTGCAGCAAGCTAGTCTTACAAGATGCTACAAGTGGATCCGTAGCCCACTTATTATGTGCTCTCATATCGAAGTTGAGGTGGTGATAGCTTCACTTAGGTTCTCTGTAGGTAGGTACCTACCTATACATATTATCCGGCACAGCCCAGTCAACAATATCACATCAATATTGATACAGTGCCTCAATATTCCGATTACATATTCTACCGGAATTTTCTGCATAGAAGCCAATTTACATATATATTAGGTAGGTATACATTAGGTACACATTGTATGCCATCCTAGGCCTGCGACGGCTTAGATAGCCCTTCTAGCTGTGCCTTAATCTGGACGGCGACGAGTTTGGAGAAGTATCGACACAGGGCGAGATTGCCTCCATGAAGCCAGAGGCCCGGATGACCACTAGGTCGCCACATGACTCTCATCTCACCCTCTTCATCGTAGCCAAACACGTTGGGTACCTTACTAGCGACCTCCTCTCCGAAGATGACTTCAGTAGCCGTTCTCATGTTCTGGTATCCCGTCGCGCAGACAATTTCGTCTGCTTCTAGCTCAGTCCCGTCGTCGAGCTTAACGCCGTGAGGTAGAATCTCGCTGATACCAACGCCGTGCTTCACCTTCACCTTGCCGTCGATGATGAGCTGCGAGGCGCCCACGTCGATATAGTAGCCCCCGCCGCGCTGCAGATACTTGATCCATAACCCGCAGTTCATCGGACCGCGGTCGGTCTTAAAGCCCGCCTTATTGAGACCGTCGAGGAGGTCCTTGTCAACTACTTGTTGCAGCTCGTTAACGTCGGCCTGGCCTGCCTTGTAGACCTCTCCTGGCTTTCCCCACGAAAGAATATCGGCCTCCTCTGTTGGAGGGCCACCTTCGTAATATCCGGGTCTAAGTAATAGATCTAATACCGCCTGCACGCTCATGACGGTCGTCGACGACCGCTGGATGATGGTCACGTCGTACCCATTCTCGTAGAAATCTTGGGAAATATCGAGCGCCGAGTTGCAAGCACCAATCACAACTGCTTTCCTTCCTTTGGCGTTCCTCTTGGCGCCTTTGAATTCCGATGAATGACAGAGCACATCGCCCTTGAAGCTTTCCATACCTTTAAAGGCTGGAGCATTTTTCTTCCCAGAGTGACCAGTGCTTTGGACAATGTGCTTCGGATGCAGTACACGGACTTCCACGGTTCCGTCCTTCTTCTTCCGCTTGACAACTGCAACCCACTGCTTCTTTTCTTCGTCCCAGCTACTATACTCAAGACTCGTGTTATTCCACACGTTGAGCTCGAGCTGCTCAGCGTACGACTGTAGAAATTGGGCTAGTTTATCCTTGGGGGTGAATATGGGCCAGAAGTCTGGGAATTTTATATACGGCATATGGTCGTACCATATTGCGTCGTGGAGGACAAGGTGCTGGTATCTATTCCTCCAATTGTCACCAACATTATCGCACACATCGATTGCGAGGGTTGGGACATTTATCATCTTTAGTCGGGCTTGTAAGGAGAGCCCGGCTTGTCCGCAACCTGATTTATGTAAGTCGATATTACGAGTTATGTTCGGAACAATGTAAGCTTACCAATTATAAGTACGTCAGGGTCGCCGTGCACGAAGTTTATCTCATCTTGCCTTCTTTCGAGCCAGTTTTTTCTCTCGGTGTTAGCGCCATGCGAGGCACCATTTGGTCGTAAGGGACCGAGAGGCTCCGGGTGGCTATAGAACTCGTGCATGGTGGTGTAAAGCGTCCAAAATTTCCATTCGCCGTTTTCTTGGAGGAGACGGGCAAACCCGGCACCGAAACCATGCTCGGTACCGGACCGTAGGAAGAATTGTACGCCGGGGACCGACCCGTCAGCCCGGAATGGGATTATTTCTGGGCCATTATTCTTAGCCGGACGCTCCCTGTCGATTTGGATATCTTTTAAGTGATGGCCCTTGTCTAAGAACGATGTAATCTTGTCTTTTCCCTTTAGAGTATGGAAATCCCAGGTCAAGCCAAGGTGATCCTTCCAATAGCTGCTTTCTAGAAAGAGGTTTGCAAGGCCTTTGTGGTCCTTTTTCGAAAGCAACTCATTGAAGGAGTTTACGATCTTGGAAGCCACTGCGACTGCATCTACGCCCTCGGCTTTGATAGTCGGCGGCCATGGTGCAAGAGGAAGATCTACAGAACCGGGTACTAGACGCTGGCTTGACGGGAGGGAATCTGGCGTGGTCATGGTCGTAAGTGTTTATGGAATAGGTGAAGTGATGGTGAAGGTATCGAAGGCCGCTTGGTATCATTAAGACGAAACAGAAGAAAATTCTAAGGATTTGGGGCTCTAGATATCCTCAGTTTCACGGTAATAGGACCCCGCACGTCACGGTACTACATAACTACCTAGGTAGAGGTAAATCCATGAGGCATTGTTCGCGTCAACATTCCGCTTTAGATGAAGCTACGGCTTAGCGAATCGGGTATGGACTTAGACTGGGGGAGCTGGAGGAGAGCGTCCATCACCCCCGCATCAAGTGATAGATTATGGTCGAGAGAGGATACTATCCGCATGTAATACCCCGAGGAAAGTCAGGTGGCTTATACTATCGTACCGAAGGAGACTCCGAGGTTATCGTCACTGTGCGCTGATCTTGGCTAAGGCAAACGGATTTAGCTATGCAATACAACTGTGTACTACACAGTAGAAGTTGAATGAATATTTTTGTTGAATTGTCTCCGACGTTAACCAAAGGCGTACTAGCTGACTTGGGGCGTTGCTTATTTGTATTCTATTCTGTACCTGGCATAGTTGATATTTTGTTGTTTAAGATGTAGTTACTATGTAGTTAGTGAAATGGAGGCTCTAGAACGTGTAAATCCGTTGAAAGCTTCAATTAATAATCCAAAGAAAGCACCTAAAGTTCAATTAAGCTTCCGATTTCACGGTAATCTTATTAATATGAACCTTATGAACCTTAAGAATTTAGGTATGTACTTGCCGATTCTCGGCCGAGACGAGTTAGTTATGACTCGGAAAGCTGTCAGAAGTTTCAATGACGCCGTAAGAAAAGAAAAAGAAGGAAGGAAAGTCCTAGGAAAAGGCAATCTGAAATCTCCGTCCCCGAGATCATAACTAATAGATCATAGACCCACCAATAAGATCTCACCACTATGCACTTATGTAAGGATGTAAGGATGCAAGGATAAGAGGCAGGGGTCTAATCCTTAGTATTTATCTTCTTCAGCCCTTCAGCCCTTCAGCTAGTACTGTACCAGCATCTGCAATAATACAATTAAAGCCCGTTACCGCTTGTTTTCGCTTACCGTATTGCTGTCGTATCCCTAAAGACATCATTCGCCTAGTCCCTACGACGACAAACGTTATCAATGACGAAACACAATGGCTCTTCTATGCACCGAGTCCCCTCGGCCGGGGCGGTCGAACATGGCTATCCGCAAGGACATCTCGGGCATCTTACCGAGCATGAAGGGCAAGCTTTGGTAGAATTCAAAACACTTTTAGAGAAGAAAGGTCTTTATAAGCCGGGGAATCCGCCATCTCATGACGATGCCACTATTCTGTGCGTTTAAATCGAAAGTCGCATTAAATCTGTCAAACATAGTGCTAATGTATTTACGAACCTAGTCGATTCCTTCGAGCACGCAAGTTCGTTCCAGAAGATGCATATGTGCAATTCAGCGAGACTGAAAAGTTTCGTAACGCAAACCAGGTTGAGGTTCTATACGATACTATCGATATAGACTCGTTTGAGGCAACTAGGAAGCTTGTACGTTATATCTAAGGTCCTTGTAACTAAATATTAAACAATTCTAGACTCATCACTTACCCTTGAGAATAGTACCCTCGATTTACTGGTCGACGTGATAAGCGGTATGCAATACTTCGTCCCAATAAATAAGAGCTTCGATGCAAGACACCTATACTAACAATATTTTTAGAGGCATTCCAATTTACGTATTCCAAATTCGACATCTCGATTCACACGCAGTTGCCAAATATGAGAAGTCCACCGAGACGACCTATAGTAGGGCCAAGACGGATGGTAAGACGCAGCCCAAGTTGTTACAGCTATTCGCGCTGTACGAACATCTGACAAGATTCGTCCAACCTCTGTCGTCCGAGTGTACCGATCGCCCACATCCCGCTACTCCGATCACCCTCAGCACCAATATCGTCGATATTTCCCACGTCAGTCTGCGCATGTTTTGGAACTTGAAGGGCCACATGCAGGCTGCCAGTCAATTGGCCACTGCCCACTATCCTGAGACTCTCGATCGTACGTCTACGAATTTTGTTATAGGCTGTGTAAGAATTGTAGAAGTAACTGATTAAATTCCTAGGTATCTTTATTATCGGCGCGCCTATGTTCTTCTCGACAGTATGGGGTTGGATTAAGCGGTGGTTCGATCCCGTAACTGTCTCCAAGATTTTCATTCTCCAGGACCACGATATATTACCTGTCCTGACGACTTTCATGGACATAAAAAATATCCCGAAAGTTTATGGAGGCGAGCTCGAATGGGACTTCTTCGACGAGCCGGCTTGGGATGACGAGGTAAAACGGATATGTCAGTTCGAGAACGGTTATACTTCTCTTCCTCAAGGTCCTGTATACTGGCGGCCAATCGACGATGGCAAGCGAGTCGAATGTATCGCCGTAGGGACTAAAAACGGGACTGACCGAAGAGAGCGCGTCTGTACCATCACAAAAGCTTACCCGCCGAATTCGGCTGGAGATACCCTGGTGTCTGCCACGGAGTCCCAAGCCGGCGACGTTACAGAAGCTGAGTCGCTCGCAACGCCCACCGAGAAGCCTATTATTAACGGCGAAGTCCCGACGGCAAGCATTGCGGCGTTGTCAATTACCGAAGCGAAATAGTAAAACTTGACACGATTATATAATAGAAGGAGCTCACGCAGTCATCAATTCCCTCGAAGCTGGACGTCTACGTCAAATTCGTAATTCTCGTGGCGGAGATTGGACATTAGAGTCTATTGAAGATATAAATGTAAGAAGAGATACATTACATAGAGTCTTAGGATACCGACCTGTTTTCTCCAGTACCGCATCGTCTTATTGTCAAGGGTCGTTGGCGCATACCTTGGTATTTACAGGAATAGGGGCGCTTTTGTTTTTTAGGGAGCTACGCATGGATTATATATGGACTTCTTCACAAAGTGGAATAGAATCAACTTAAAACTCCTGACGCCAGCAACCCTCTCTATCTATGCTATATAATCGATATGTCATCTGCTGGCGACCAATGCCTCTAAATGTTGGTTGGAACTACGACTCAAGATGATGGCTGGACACCTTTTCGCCTCCTCCATTCCTTAATCCCCTCTACGACCTCATTCCACGTAACGCCGTCCCTGACCAACCACATGGTAACGCCTAGAGACTCGGTGTCCCTGTTACGGCTTTCGTCGTCGAAGAACAGCATCTCGGTGTGCGGGATACCCGTCCTCTTGCCCAACGCCTTAAAATGTTGTATTTTACTACTGGGGTAGATCTCCAGCCCCGCGTCGAAGAACTCGATCGCCTTCCTCACCTTGTCCTTCTTGCTGGTACTACTCCCCGAGCCCGCGTCAGCGCCGCTTTCGTCCAGCACGCTGCTCGCGGGCGGTATGTGCAACAGCTTGAGCATTTCGCGGCCGAGGTCCGGGGCGTGCGTCCGGCTCGCGACGCCGAGCTTGATGCCCGCGCGAGCTAGGCCGTGTAGGACGGAGGGTACGTCGTCGTAGAAGGCGAAGGTCTCGCCGATCTTGTCGGTGCAGGCGCTGTGCGCGAGGTTGGGCCGGAGCGGCGGGTAGACGTGGGTGTCGACCCAGAATGGCCATAGGGTGTAGTCGAGATCGAAGACGATGGCGCGCGGCAAGGGCTGACCGTCGGTGAGGATGGATGGTAGGGTAGTGGTAGTAGGCGTCGTGCCTGGAAATGTTGGCTGTTTGGCGAGCTTCTTCGGCATATTCGGAATATTTTAAATTACGTCTTGTATTGTTAACAGGGTACGGGGATTGGGGACCGGGTATTGGCATAAAATTGATGAAGGTATGACGGAGTCTTGCAACTTTCCCGTGGCCGGTCAGACGATAAGATTAGATTAGATGCCAGTACGGATCCGTAACAACATTGGTAAGAAATGATGTAAGCAGGTAAGGTACCTTAGCTTGGCAAATACGGGTGTAGAATTACCACCGATTCCACCTATGATTCCTCACTATTCCCCGTCGCACAAAAGAGAGATCCCCTGCTAAGCTCCAGATCGGAGAGCTTTCGAAGGGATAAGCATAACGGCCCGTTAGCAACGTCACTAATCCTTCTTGCCAGCTGCACATACTCTTTCTTCTCCATCTTCGTTGCCCGCGCATCTCCAAGTCCCCAGCTTTTACGATGGATATTAAAAACCACATACAGCGTAGCATTGTTGACATCGGCTTTAACAAACCGAACCCGCCGCTCCGAACATTACATCAGCATTTAGATCAGCATTATATGCCTCGTGAGCCTATTTCTAATCTACAATAAGCAAACCCGAGATGCGAAATACGCAGCTAAGTAACACACTTGGCGTTCGAAACCACGCAAATATACCTACCCCCATAGAAAAACCCCCCTGAGTCTCAACGAGCGGGGATTGCCTAGTTCGGATCTCGTACACTAGGCCCCTTATAGCTGCATTAGGTGACTTAGTTAGTATATGTCCTTAACTCGGAATCTTCCAAGTGAAGGAACCCCACAAGCACTCAGCAACCTACATAGAACTGCCGAACGTGTTCCATGGCAGAAACACCCAAGACCAATGCGGGGCCGCGGCTGTGGAGCTGAGCTTGGTTGGGGATAGGTAGGTAACCTATCACATAGTCCTAGTTGTTTAGACTGTCTCTTCGGACGACGGAAACCCAAATTGCTCCTCTAATGCCTAGCCTTTAGACTTACACAGGAGCTTAAGGTAGGGACATATAGTGACATGTAGGGACATTGATCCGCCGCTATGCCCGTAGGCGGACTCCTCCACCCTTCTCCCCGACTTTAACCGTTTCAAGCGAATACATATGTCGGTCGAATATGTCGGTCGTATATAATATGTGCTTAGCCGTCGCGCATTTTAGAGAAGCACCCTCGTGGCTTCACTTATAACTTCGACCCAAAGCCCAACCTAGAGCGGACTATTAACAGCAATAGCATTTCTCTCGACGATAAAACCATAAACTGGGAAAGATATAAAGTTACGGGTATCCAACATGGCGGCCCCGAGGAAGATACAGCTCGTGCGTATAGCGCACGTGTACTATAAGTACACAGACATGGACAAGGCTATCACTTTCTTGAAAGACTTCGGCTTCACTGAGGAGAAGAGGGTATCGGACGACAAGATCTACTGGAGAGGATACGGGACAGAACCGTGGGTGCTTTGCTCCATCAAGGCGGATAAGGCCGAATTTGGCGGCGCGGGCTTCGTCGTCGAATCAGAGGAAGACTTGAAGATCGCATCCGAGACACTACCGAAAGCCACTGAGGTATACGATTTATCGGATGCACCCGGTGGGGGCAAGGGCGTAACTTTCTATGACCCGGTCGACGGGTACCCGTTTCACCTAGTCCACGGCCAGACCCCTGCTCAGATGCTAGAAATCCCTCTACCACACGAACCCGTTAACTACGTAAGAATTTCGCAGGTCGACCTTAGATTCTAATACTAACGATAAACGATATCATAGCCTCTCGAAAAGAACAGACCCGCAGGCAGGTTCCAGCGATTCGAGAAGCGGCCCGCTCCGGTCCACAAGCTCGGCCACTTCGGTGTAAGGTCGACGAACTTCGCAAAGGCTTACAAGTTCTATTGCGATCATTTTAACCTTATAGCTAGCGATGTACGAACCCCCTGTATTAGTCATGCTTGGGGAACTCGCGACTAATAGAAACAGCTCATTCACGACGCCGAGAAGATCGACCGGACAGTATTCTACCGGCTAGATAGAGGAGACGAACCGGTAGACCACCACGTCTTCTTCTTCGCCGAAGGTACCCCGTACAGAGTGCACCACTCTTCTTTTGAGACGCACGATTTCGATACTCAAGTCCTAGGTCACGACTGGCTGCGAGAGAGGGGCTACAAGAACTGCTGGGGCGTTGGGAGACACGTCCTTGGCAGTCAGATCTTCGACTACTGGTACGTGCTTACTCCCATTTTTTACCTTCTGATTCGAAGTCCAAACTAACTAGGCTAGGTACGACCCGCACGGCTTCATCATGGAGCACTACGTCGACGGCGACTTGGTGACCGCCTCTGAGCCCACGCATCACTCGCAGGCTGGTCCTGGAAGCCTACACGTGTGGGGTGAGTGTCTAATCCTAGCTTCTGACTATGCAGTATGGCAGTGCTAATTGCGATTCACTAGGTCCCGATGTTCCTGGAGATTTCCTGGACTGATTCTAAATTGTATTAAGGGGGTTGTGTTTCAGTCCCGGGCGAGCAAGCGTATATCGGTTCCAAGATTGAACGTTTGCTTATTCTAATGTATTTATATTCAAGTTTAGTGGGCATTGAACTGTATCTCGTGTTACCACCCCAATAAGATTGATAAGTCTCGATAATGATCTACTAAGTTATCACAAAGCTACTTCTAGTCGTATGATAACGTAACGAGCAATCGTAACCTACGAAGTACGTAGATGGATTCATATATCAAGATACGTTACGAAGTTCTTGAGATGTCTCTGGTAAGAAAAGTAGCAGATAAGGTACGAGATAACTCGTACACGAGGAGTGAAGACCTTCTCCTAAGGATAAGTCCCATAGTTATCTATTTTAGTCTACGTGCTGTCATTATTGGATATAGATTCAGCATAAAAAGGTTTATATATATCTTACGCTAATTAAGAACCATCCAATGATCATAGAGCTATGTAGCTAGATACTTAGATTATTCTTTTAGGTTGTATTTGTTAAATGCCTACCTATATACTATTCGTACCAGATACTTCACAGCTCTATGGCTTTAAGAGAGCCTTTTCCTGCATTGATGTTTGAAAGGTCGAGTCAAACATGGACATTTCCAAGTAGAACGCTTTTACACTGAAAAAAAAAAAAGCGCGTTTGAGGGGGTAGGTAAATCCACGAGGCGTATACATGAGTTAAGTCGTTGTGGGTGATCTTACCCCATGAAATATCTACTGCCATGGAGCATCCATACGCAGGTGATACACAATGAGTTCTAGTACGAACTTCCCGGAACCTATGAGCCATCCCATTTTCGTTGTAGAAAGATCGTGTTCTACATATCATATTAGAGCTTTAGAAAATGCCAACGTTGCACCGGAAGTATCCCAAGTCTGTATTATTTCGCATTGGGTGCACATTAATGTCCAATGGCCAAGGCGCGAGACGGGCCTTTAGGGATAATACTTGGTACTGGTTCTTTTTAAGAATTGGGTATGATCGCGGTAGTGCGGATGGTGATCCGCCAACGCAGAATGATGATTCCCTTGGCGGAGGCCCCTATAGGGAAAAGCTTTACCGTCAAATCCTAAATCAATATTTTGAAAAGGTTAGACTAGATGGACATTATAATCTCTATTAAAGGGGTATATACTAGTATGTATGGCCGGCGATAGTTAAATCTCGACCGGTATGAACTGGGGTTTGATGAACCACCTTGAGCATCCATTGCTCTGTCAATCAATCTATCGTTACCACCATTCTATAACCAATTAACTTTTCATAACCTGTGAGCTTGGAGTCAGACACAAGCCCTGATAGATTATCATAAAGACACCATAGCTTAGAGTCTGGGTGCTATGTTAGCATGCAGACTGGTAGTGCCAGCTTAGCGAAAGTGGTCGTTGCCGTCATTACACCCACCTTTAGAATCTACCTAATAACGAGGTAGAACGTATAGTCGTTCAATGCTAGAGTAACCACGGGACTCGTCGCAGTTAGTCGAATTCCGGGATTAGTCTTCTATCTTATCCGTGGTATGTAAAACCGGACGCCTGATCATATGAATCTCCCCCGCATTACTAGTCGGCGCCAGACAGCCTCTTCGTCTTCATCCTGGTCGGCTGAGGTGGCTGGAGTATGATCAACGGGGTCGGGGTTCTCGCATAGCTCGAGGAAATCCTCCGCCATGCTCTCCCCAGGGGCAAACCCTAGATTTCGTAATGTGTCAAACGGTGTTGAGTCGAGCCTATATGAAGTTAGATCAAAAAGAAGTATATATAAGGAGTCAGTCACCATTACCATCGAGAAGTCTCATCCAAGTGGAGTCCATCGGTTTGCTGTGTTACAGGGAGCGGATTGCTTGGTTCAATGGATTGCGAATGTTGCGAAAGGCCCATTGCCATGTTGACACTCGTTTGCCTTTCCGGCACTAAACGCTCGCTCGTATGCCGCGAGTTTTCCCCATATTCATCAGTGGAGCCATTCGATCCAAAAGGTGTAGAATCTTGAGGAGCTGCCAAAACTGATGATGCGCGATCCAAATTGAAATTCTGAGGTCCATCCTCGGAAAATCCCGTATTATAACTATGTATCTGGTTCTGATTAGGACGGAAAGTCCGTTTTCGAATATCCTGGCTCTGAATATAAATGTCGCTGGGATCTTGAGGAGCGCCATGAGGGTTTATTGAACTAGGTTGAGGTCCTGAAACAGACGAGACCGATCTATTAGACAAGCCGGGAACATCCCTGGCCATGTCAGGCTGACGGCGAGAATTTGAGGATTGAGTAAAACCCATCTCATTGCGCACTTTAGAGATGACCGGCGAGACGCGTCGGTCCAGAGGGGGTAGGAACAGGTCAGGGGATTCTCCATTCTGCAGAAATCTGCCGAGTCGACTCTCGTTGAATCTATTAACCAATTCTGCCTGGTTTTCGTTGTTCTTATAATAGTCCAGATTAGGAATACCAGTGCCTCCATACGTACCGCCGCGCAGGACCTGCAAAACGACATCCTCGAGTTCGGGCCGTGCCTGAAGGACTATGGCCCATAGACGTTCGCCATTCTGGCCGGTGTACCCACTACGAGGACCTCTTTTCCGCACAGGTCTGTTGTAGGTACAGTCGGTGCCTGCGCGTACACAAACGCTGCACTTCGGGACGGCATTATCGCATGGCTGATGTTGAGAGTTGCAGCGGTCGCAAGCGCGACTAGCCTTGCGCTTTTTCGACGCTCGCTTGCCGTCATCGCTCTCCCCATCACTCATAGCCTCCACCATACGCCCCGAGGTAGACACCGCTAGTTCCAAACCAGCTTCAGGCCACCCTCCTCTCCGTAGAGTAGAGGGTCTCCTTTTTTTCTTTTTTTTCGAACTGTTAGGGGTACGATGGAGACTCGTATGCGCCCTTTTACGATGACGACACAAGAGCTCTTATAAGATAATGATGCGAAGGTGAGAGAGCATTGAGAGCATATGTTAAGAGCAATGAGAAGAGTGAGACGAAATAAAGAATTATCGATATATTTATGTTTTGGTTGTAATTGTGAAGTGAGAAGTGAAATAATTATGTACAGCGATTAGTACAGTACCTAGGATACATGTTATGTACCTAATGTACCTAAGGTAAGCACCCAGCTTGAGTCGGGACCACCTGCTCACTGTCGGCGCGGGGTTATCTCCGACATGGTCCAACTGGAACCTCAAACCCCCCCAACAACGATTTTCTTTATAGCTTCCCCGGGTACCTACATGCCTAGGGAGGTACCTTAGTAGGTAGCGTGGCTCTTCAGTGTGGCTAATGAGCTAAGGTTTAGGTACCTAACCTAACCATGTGGTAGAAGCTCAGGACTAACTTTCCGCTTCTAATGCCGACACCCTTGCCGTTAGTCGACTTGTAACTCACAGACATGTAAACTCATTCACCTCATGGGCTCAACCCCATTTGTTCTTATTTCAGCAATCGAGATGCTCTCGTACGATTTACTTCGCAAATGAATTGAACTCGAACTACAAGATTTCTTACAGACTCGCAGGATATTTCATTTCTGATGTTACCAGATACTTTCATCGTGTCTGTTTTCACCAAACAGCAATGAGACTTGCTTTTAGCCTCATATGAAGAACCTACTATTCTAGATTTTCACCTATCGACACGGTCTATATTTTGTTGAACGGCATATAGCGACAAGCACGATTAAACCGTGTGTCTTAAGAGCTTGGAAATCGGGTTGCTAGGATGGCGAATATGATTCTTGATGAACCCATAATCTCTACGTCCAGGACAAAACGCAGAGTCTTCCCTACCGATTCCTCGGTCATCCTGGTGGGTTGTCGAGGTGCTGGAAAACGGACGTTGGGGTTTATCGCTGCCAAGTATCTTGGCCGTCGACTTATTACCGAGGATCACTTTTTTGAACAGTCGACAGGATGTACCAGAGCTATTTTCTTGCAAAAATATGGACGAGAAACGTTTAATCAGCAGATGGCGATTGTACTTGCCCGAATGCTCGAGCTTAATCAGGCCAATTGTGTTATAGAATGCGGCACGGGCACGTTATCGTCTGATATTGAGGAGATCCTGAAGGACTACATTGAGACGAACCCCATCATTTACATCCATCGCGATAAAGAGGATCTATACAAGTTATTAAAACTATCAGTGGCGGATGCAGAATATCTACTCACCACTGACCAGAAACATCGTGATTTCTCTAATTTGGAGTACTTCAACCTTTTCGACCCCAGTGGCGAAGGGCAGGTAACAGAGGACTGCCCCTATCGTTCTGCGTCTACAAGCACTGCGAAGCTTGTAGAGGCGAAACAAGACTTCAAAAATTTTCTTGATCACATCTTTGGCCAAGGTTTGACACGATCATGGATAGCAAATCCATTCTCAATGAAGGCAATCCCCCCGGAGTATCGAACTCATACGTTCGTCTTCTGCCTTCGACTATCATCGCTAATTAGCACGAATATTGATATAGCCGAATTGGAAGCACCTGGAGAGGCTGTGGAACTAATAATTGATACCTGGCCGCCTAACGTGCTCGACCTTATTGCGATCCAGGTAGCCTTAATCCGCCGCAAACTGGACCTTCCAATCATTTACTCCGTCGAAGAGAATCCTCGTGAAGAACGTAAGAGGCCCCTCGAAGAAAGAGATACTATGGACCTTGAATTGATGCTTCATGGGCTGCGACTTGGTGTCGAGTATCTGAGTCTTGACCTCCAGAGAAGTCCAGGGCTGATCTCTCACATTCTCTCCATGCGAGGCAGAACAAAAATCATCGGGAATTACGTTATGAAAGGATTTAACGCTCCAAAGTGGAATGACGACTCCTTCGTCGATCGTTATTTGCTTGCTCAACAGTTCGGATGCCAGATCGTCCGCATGGCCCGGTTCTGTTCCGTGGACAGAGACGATGAACTCAGGCAAATGTTCATCGATAAAATCAATGCCCTACCAGATCCCAAACCTTGCCTAATCGCCTACGACTTTTCGGTGTTCGGCGTTGTACTGCCTTTCCAGGGAGACATCCTGAATCCAATCGGGCATGATTCTCTCGAGAAATCCTCACGGGAACAGATGATCGGCGTAAGTACAACACGGGGTACGCTACGGGACCTTTTTCGAAAAGGAATTTTACAACCACTCAATTTCTATACTTTGGGATTGAATGTTTATTATTCAGCGTCGCCCTCGATGCACCGCGCAGCATATGAGCACTATATGATGCCGCACACTTTTAACGCTAGACGCTGCACTTCACTCGAAGAAGTCGACCGGATTCGACGCGAGCCTGGCTTTGGCGGCGCTTCGTTAACGGCACCCTTTAAAGTCTCTATCATGCCACGCCTTGACCATCTCAGCACCCACGCTATCGCAATCGGCGCGGTCAATACGCTCTTACCACTACGTGGGGATACCGACTCAATTCTAGACCATGCTAATGCTCGAAACAGAGCTGGCTATGCCAATAGGTTTTATGGGGACAATACGGATTGGAGTGCAATCATGACTTGTATACGTAGAGCCATCAGTCCTCGAAACTCGGTACAGCCATCTCGGACGACGGCTCTGGTAATAGGAGCGGGTGGAATGGCTCGAGCAGCTATCTATGCTTTAATAAAATTAGGCTGTCGGATGATATTCATTCATAATAGGACAAGGATAAAAGCAGAAGAAGTAGCGATGCATTTTAACATGTACGCCATAGAGCAAGGGCTTCTATGCCGCCAGAACGAAGGAGACAAGATTTGTCGAGTCATCGGGTCAGCCAGTGACCCATGGCCAAAGTCATATCAGCAGCCAACGATGATCGTATCCTGCATTCCGGCATCGGGCACAGATGACAATCCACCAGTTGACTTCAGAATGCCTTCGCAATGGTTGAGAAGTCCTACTGGTGGTGTAGTGATTGAGGTAACAACCATCATACTGCTCATCCCTTGGCTTTCAATATTCTAACCTAAACCTTTTGCACAGTTAGCGTATGAACCCCTTATAACGCCACTAGTGGTTCAAATTCGTAAGATTCGCGAAGAAGGGGACACCTCATGGGTGATTATTGATGGCTTGGAGGTTGTGGGAGAGATGGCCATGGAGGCTTTCGAATTAATGACTGGGCGTCAAGCACCGAGAAGGTTGATGCGAAGAGTTTGCAATGAGAACTGGGAGAAAACGAGCGCACCGTTCCAACCGCAGCGGTAGCACGTTTTAACGCATTGCGGTTGGGGAGGTTTCATCTCCAGCAACCAAATCCAAGCCGAACAATCTAAAAGGGGCGATCAACAGATAACTCGTCGTGATCACGCAAATCCGGCGAGCGATACCTAGGCTCATGACTTTTTTATCTATGCAGGATTATTGGCACGACGTCTTACGCCTTGGTTCTTTGGTATTTTGCCTTCCATGTAGGAAAATCTTACGGTTATTACTATTATGATTTGGGTACCTAAGCATCTGAGCACCGGGGGGAGAAAGAGGCATCTGTGGTATCTGTGTGAGCAAACCCCTCGAAATATACTACGGTACTTCCTGCAAACCACACATTTTGCCCGGGATTGCTATGGAATATACCCGCTGCCCAGGTCGTCCTTGCTAATTGATATTAGGTTTAGGTTTTGTATAATGTGCAGGGATAGGGGGGAGTCGCGCGCATTCCACCAAACACATCAACAATGAAACTACCACATGGATTACTCATGACTATCAGAGCGAATATGCAATTCATGTTATTATGTCATTCTGTTTCATAGATAGCAGTTAAAATGCAACATGTACAAGTCTCGGGGTTGATATTTAATAGCACTTACGGCTAAGTGGGGATGTTTAGCCCAATATGGCTAACAGGTAGCTTTGCATACAAGTTTATATGTTATGGTACTAAACATTGATACTTTTTGGTATAAAACTCTTGAATTTTATTTTGATGAATAAGCACCACTTTGGTTAGTATCGTTGAAAAGTTGATCTTTCCATTGATGTTCAGTACCATAACATATAAACTTATATGCAAAGCTACCTATTAGCCATGTTGGGCTAAACATCCCCACTTAGCCGTAAGTGCTATTAAATATCAACCCCGAGACTTATACATGTATGATCAAATTATACCCTCTGTATTAGGTACCAGTCCTCGGCGCCTTCTGTCCTCTTTCCGCCGGAACGCTCTCTGCAGCCACCCCTTCCGACTTCCTCTTCTTAAGTGCCGAAGGCTTCTCAGCATCGCCCAACTTCATCATGGCAACCCAAACCTCAAAGTGGTCCCTCCTATCTTCACGCGTATAACACCGACCCTTGTATAAGCCGCCCTTCTCCTCGTGTTCTGGGTCATCGCCGTAGTCAGGTCGCTTAGCAGCCTGCTTCTCACAGTGCGATTCCGCGGCCTTATTAGCAGACGCGGCGGATTTGAACGCGCCGATCGGGAGAGCTAGTCTTCCCTTCCGGTCCGTATGGTGGTCGAAGTCCTTGCGCAGGACAACGTAGATGGCGTTGAGCGACTCGGACATTTTCATTTATGGTGGATATGTAGATGAAGTTGGAATTTCGATGTAAAATGATTTTGTGCTTTAGATATTGGATGTGCGATGTATGAGATAATTGTCGAGTGGGAATGACGGTAGATACCTTAGGTAGTCGTTGGATTTTATAGTTCGCTACTAAGTATTTTACTCGATTGGAAAATTCCTTTCGATAGCGGTACCGATAGGTAGTGATTGCTTTAAGCCCATAGTCTGATTAGGGACCTTCTTAACGTCAAACTGTGATCGGCAGCATCGTATAAAGGTGTCTTACAGCAGACCAGGGAACTCCGTTGTATAAGGTGGGTCGTTAGGAAAACGTTGAAGTTTCATCTATATGATTTATAGAATTGGCCTTGAATATATTTGTTATCAGGTGTTTAAATTAGTTAAAACTGTCTGGAAGCTTTATATAGTTGTCCTAAATCGAATTTCATTTATATACAATTGGTCAATTGTGTGTAAGTCCTCTTCGAAGCTTAATAGTGATTCAAGTCACGACATAGATTATAAACTAACAAGAGAATGAATATATAGGTGATAATTACCCTCATGTAATTCTTCGTAATATATGTTAAAAGCATCTTTAATTCTACGTGAGGAACTCAACCGAATTTGTTTGATTTTCTTCTCCTTGGTTACCCAGGTAAGCCAAGTAAGATACTCCTCCGGCAATCTAACACTAAAGTAGTAACACAAGAGAGACCCCAGACCCACTGTATAGTCCTAAGAACTGTCTAAGTCTTGAGGTTACACGTGTACGACTTGAGTGAATATTATTCCGTACTTAGGTTGTATTTATTTCTTGAATAAAGATTTTTCGCTGTTTGCTCCCCGGACGGAGATTTCAGGAGTCTTCTGAAACAGTCGGGTCTCCGAACGGTCTGAGTGTAGCGAATCGCCACCTATAGAGAAAGAATTATCAGTAAGTAGTGTGGCCTACTTCATATTAGTCTTTCTAGCATAGAGTTACTTACGTGTAATTACCATTTGCAATTTGAGTAAGACTAATGACCATTATCTTCTGCATAGCCAGTCGCAAATGAAAAGGAGTACTCACGAATCGGCCTTTGCTGCGACAATTCCAGCGACGTGAGTTCCGTGGCCAAAGACGTCAAGAGGATCGTCGTCAGGTTGCTTCTCCTCGCTAGGCCAATCTAGATTCTACGTCAATTCTGCAGTTAATAGGTATTCTGGGCACTTTAATTCATACTGCCATCATCGACGAAGTCATATCCACCGGCTACTTTAAAGCCATGCAATGACAATTTACTATATGGCATGATTGAGAGAAAGCAATTTGTTGCTGGCTCATCGGGAGTTCCGTTGGCAATCAAGACTATTATATTTACGAGATATTGAATGCCGTTAAGAGGAATACCTCAAGGGTAATGATACGAGAATTGACCTCAATACGAAGAAGTAGATCTTTGTTTAATGCGCTGCGGTAATGTAAAGATTTTATTCTAATAAATAGCAATGATAAAATAGATGAATACAAACGATGTAAGAGCAGTAAGATACAGAAAATCTAAGCTGGATAACTAGCCGGTGCTTAGAAATATAAAAGGGCGCCTGTTGGGTTGAGAAGGCTCTGCTTTGTTTTCTTATATTGTATGCGTCGATTGTAAGGTTTCTTCAGCCATAACAAGCCTCCATTAACAACAAAATGAATATATTTTTCTTTTCGAAAATGTTGCTCTTAAGTATGCGTATCTTGGAGGGTTAATACTATTTCTAGTTGATTCTTATGGATTCAAAGCTCTGGTGCTGGTAAGGATTTCTGATTATGCCGACCCTATAATAACAAGAGGTTAATAATTACTTCCTTAGGCGATAAACAGCACGTCTCTAGAGCGATAACTCCCTAATCATTTTGATACGGAAATATTGACTCCAGAGACTAGCTAAAGGGGGGAGGAGCTCTCGATCTTACGTACAAGATTGTCCATAAACTCGGTTAAAGTGTATCCAGGTGGTGGCTTAACGGCTTCCGCGAGCCAGTAGCTTCGTTCTTGTTCTAACACGTTGTGCTTGATTCCAGGCAAGAGATATAGATACGCAAGGACGATATTCCCGCAAAACCACACCATAGTCCGGGTCAAAGGATGTAACCATTCATACTCCTGTCCCCAAATATACACCCAAATGTAGAAGATTCGGATTGAAAGGTAGAGAATTGAGAGTAAATTTCGAGTTTCGAGATCCACTCCCTCTGTATTTGCAGCGAGAACTGCGACGGCGAACAGCGGTAGATTTTCTATTGAGTTGTTCAAAGCGAATTCGGAACGCTCTATGCGCGCCGTAGTCTGAAATATCATTAGCATCGGGTACGAGCAGTTGTCACCAACTACGGAGGATTACGATCTATATAATCGGCGATACGTACCACAGCGTTCAGTGTTGTCGACCTTCTAGCAGATGCCCCAAATTTGCGAGGATTCCTAGGGTCGTAAACTCCGCTTCCAGGTCCTAAGATCCCAAAGTATATCCTTGGAGATAAAGCCAGGACAAAGGCAAAGGGAATCTGTTTCTATGTCAGTTTATTTTATTTCATGAGGATGGATAGCATTTACGTACGGTCCACCACGAGATATTGTTCTCCTTGAGATAATCCATGATTATCGTTATTCTAATTGCCAGTTACGGTATGTTCAAAGTTAGGTGTATCTATCAAATTGGGAGTAGAGCAGGAGCTAAGTGATGCCAATCTAGGAAGCCGCTGAAGTAGATAGCTTGGAATTATCTACCATGCTTGAATATTAGATAGTTGAAAAGCGGTTATATATCAAGGAGTAAAGATAGATGAGATCTCGATAGCTCAAACCGGACATCTTCACTAAAAGGCACTTCTGAATGCGGCATGAGAATTGTCGATGAGGCTATAGCTCTATTGTCATTCAGACAAAGGGGAGTGACATCAAGACTAAGTCTAACAGCTCCTCGTCACAATGTATACTATAACTGATCGTTACCTATTATGCATCGAGTTTAGAAGATGCAATTACCTCTATACAAGACGGGACAGGTACATCGGGCGGATCAAGAAGTTTCTAATGCCTATATTAGGTAGATCCGTTTATATGGTATATCGAGGGATATTATGAGCTTTAGACGCCTTAGCAAATCTTAAAGCACTCGTCTTTCATTAATAGGAAAAGAGATTCCGCCTTGAATCAAAGAGTCAACCAGCGCTGGTTAGACGACGATACCATACTTGGCATGTCATCGGGAATTTAATAACGGGTGGTAAAATAGTAGTACTACCAACCATGACGCACGTATCCCGTAATAATCCTATTGATATAATACATATTGTTGTTAATAAATACAAGAACGAAACTGTTTAGGCTTCTAGATGACGAGGGGTTTAAACTCGTATTTGGGATGATTTCCTAACTTCATCTGCCGTAATCACGTATCCTATCTAAGCCACAAAACAATCATTACATAGTAGTGTCACTGGGCTTTATTAGTCCTGTCAGCTCAAATCAGAATATCAATCATATGATGAGGTCAACACACTTCGCCCACGGGACCTGGGGACTTGGCTAACTCTGACTATGTCATCTTGATTTAATCGTTAAGCGCTATCAATGACGCTGTCCTGTCCCCATACCCCTGGATTTCACCCTTGATTTCGTTGGTGCGCTTCATCTCTCTTATTTGCCAATCATGTCGTGTTGATTGGGAATTCCTAGAATTACCTACAGTCTATTCGTCAACCGGGGTACGTTTTGACCTCATGTAGCCATCCATGCAGCAGTCATGATCAGAAACTTAAATAAGGATTAAATCATAAACGTTCAAACGGGTGTCTCGATAGCAAATCCGTGACACAAATGAGCTGCGATATGGTCTGAAAACAGACATGCCGAGTTATACCATTAGGTACGTACACGCGGCACCTCCCCCCTTATCACCCACGGAGACAGGCACATGGGCTTTCTGATTTGCCCATGTCGTCTTATCGCAAAGCCATGTACATAGGACCGGGCATGTGGAGGCGGGGCCATACTTAAGGTGCCTCCGATTTGCCGATCTCTCAAGGCGTAGAGCAGAGTATCTACCTGGTAGTATAAGTCAATGTAAAAAGTGAGACACTGCATCCTGCATGATAGGCAGATTGCCTCGCAGGCAACAAATACCTACCATGCATCCGAAAAACGGGATAGCAATAAAAGGTGTACATTATTGTTGCACACATCATCTAGAACCGTCTATTTCATTATGCATTAATAATAGGAGAGTAGGCTGTGCCTTGGACCAAGGAACGTGATATGTCTCGAGTCCATCGACTGGAGCGAACAAGTGTTTAACCTAGTGTTTGAAAGTGGACATATAAAAGATAGGCTGATCAGCAAATGGCATGGCAGAGCTGAGAGCACGAGCTGAAGGTGAAGCAAGGCCGAGCTTTGTATGAAGGTACCTACTGAGAGATCCTAGTAAAACACTGGAAGGGCTGGAAGGTCACCAGCTCTCTCTAATAATAGGTACCTAGGTATGATTAATAGGTATGATGTACTTCGTAGAAGGTAATCTACATAGAAATCGCTGATACGCGATCGGAGGTGTAGGAACGGTACCTAGGTACGGATCCGTAGGTACCTAAGTACCTCGCTGTCACACGCGCACTCAATCCATGAAAGAACCATGTAGGTAATAATGAACAAGGCTTCCGTTCTCGACATCCTCAGGATGGAGGTAGTAAAGCTGATAATCAGGTAGTAAGGGGTATGTAGTAACTTCCATCCAATTACCCTAGGTACCTACCTAGTGTACCTACCTAAATTGCATACCACGCGCTAAGTCTAACTAAGGCCACGATAAGGAGACGGGTAAGAAAGTACCAATATGAGGTACCTATCCTCCTTAATAAACCTCATAATTCCCTCTTCCGTTAAATGATTCTCGTATTTTCTTCTCTTTTGCTCCCAGTATATCTCTCAATTCCCTCGGTAAATCCAGAGTCGATATCTTATATGTTCTGTTTCCATTTTGCATCGTCCAAAGTCGTTGTTTTTTCTTATTTGTACTTGATAAGTACTTCGCTCCACGCTGCGTCATCGTCCCCATCGAGGCTAAGCAGTCTGTTGGTATCGATAACGATAACGACTAACCCGCAATCGCAACTGAGCATCGCATCATTATCGCGGTGTACCCCTTTGGCCGTGGCCCCCTTATCCTAACTGAGTCACCCGGCCTTTGTCTTGCTCGAGCCTTTCCCGACTCTGATACCGCAAGAAACGAATAAGCCACAGTTTCCCGTCACTTGAACGGCAACCCACCTGCTTACCTTCTCCCCGTGCTTCTTTCACCACTGTGCCGTCATACAGAGACAAAGCAACTTCTCAACTCGCAAACAGCGAAGCCAACAAGAAACACAAGACCTACCGCCGTCTTACCTAATCATCCGTCATCCGTCCGTCGTGACTCAGTCATCCCCCAGGCCTCTTATTTTCCAGAAAACACTAAACCATCCATTCCCTTGGCATACTTCCATCCCGCTCTTGAACCTACGAATAGCCACTCTTCTTTTATCCAGTATTCATTGTTCGCCAAATACCCTTCGTCTCTGTATCATCGCTTTCGCCTTAAATCTATAATCCTCGTACGTCGATACCGTCGTCAACCCTTAAATACCAAGTCCTTTTTCTTTCAAGATACTCCCAATAAACCATATTCCTCGGGGATAGACCTACTCCAGACGGTAGCCTACATCCCATTATAAGTAACCTTATATTATACCAATCGTTATTGACTACCGTATCCGCACTATCGAATCGTCTTCCATCATGGCTTTCGACCAAGCCCGAGACCTCCGAAGCTTTGCTCAGGACTCGAAGCGGTTCAAGGAACGCGTAGAAAAGTGGTCGCGGGGATCTCGACCCTCGGCTGGGTGCAAGTACAGCTGGGTAGAAGATGCAATCGTCACAGGGAGCGAAAGCCAACGTGAGAAACTTCGGCCTGAGGGAACTCTCCAGTAAGTCGTAATCAGTAATCATGTATCATGCGCCCTGGTAATCAAATATTAACAAATCAGCCACTCCAATCGCTTAGCAAACCATAATATCGTCAAACCGCGTGATAAGGAACGAAACGGGCTCCGATCGAGCTACTCGCGTGCCAAGATAGACGCCTTAGAAGAACTACACGACCCATCCAATGTCTCGCGATCCCTCTATGACCTCTTACCATCATCTCAGAGCCGACGAGGTTCTAGTATTTCGGATAACGTTCTTTATAGCTTCGATAGGGTTGAAAGTCCGGGCAAACCACTAACGCTGGACGTATTCGTAAAGACCAACCCGAAGGAGACGGAAAAATTCGTGGAAAAGGAGTATGAAATCCTTGACAACAATGGGGATGCTCTCAGGGGTCGAAAGGCTCGGCAGAATCTCCGTCGAAGGAACCACGCACCATCGGCACAGGAATCCGACATCATTGAAGATGATGGCTTCGAACTTGTATAAAATAATCTCAACTTGCTTCGAGATCGTATTGCCGACTCCGTGGTGCTCCGACTGCATCTATTCTTTTTCTCGCCATGGCTTGCTATCCTTCTCCTTCGTTTGCATTCTACCTACTCTCGGTTTCGGACAAATAGTGCAGCGCAGCACCTTTATACCGTATAGTGGGAGGCTTTTAGTAATCTTCGATACGACCGATATGATTCTCCTCTTTTTATTTTCGTCGCAAGAGCTGTGGCATTAGACTTCTAATACGGCTTCGTTGTTGCCCAAGCATGCATATTTCAAATGGCAACGGGCCATTGTTTCATGCGTATCTTACCTAGGCATCCATTAGGCGGTGTTGAGCTTAACTCTAACCATCGGACGTGATGGTTGGGGGAGGATGGCTCGGTGCATTGTGTCCTTGTTTTTTGGTTCGGTAAATAGATGGACGACTCATGGAATTATGGTGCGAAAGGATGTCCAAGTAGCAGAATGGCTTGTCTCTCTTAGTACGTGGAGTACAATGCGTTGTATGAGATATCATTTTTAATACCAATACATGCCGCTTGCATTGCCTTTTGCATCATATTTGTGAATGATGTTCGAAAAAACTGTACTCATTGCGGTGATGATATTTTGAGAGAATTGTTAAAACTGTGTGTTATGTGATTGTGATTGTGATTGTGGCCCGTGCAATATTACATTACCTGATTACCTAAGGAATCTACATGTAAAGCACGTGCTATGTATGCTACAAATGGAGTGGCAAGTCCAGGGCTAGCGGAGTCTTCCCCGAGTCTTCCCCTTTACCCTTTACCCTTTACCTACACTTCCAACATCAACCTGTATCTGTGCACGTTAATGTTTGCTTCAATAGAAGGCAGATGCAGGTAGAGTACATTAGGTACCAACCTACATAAAGTTATAAGTACTAGGTAACTTACACAGGTAGGCTAGGTCTAGGTAGGTACATTTATAGAAAGAACATCAATTGCCCCTTTCAAACAGCAATTTCTATGTATCATTATATGTCTTCCATCAAGTCTTATATATTTAATTAGTACTGCCACAATTTTTTCAACGAATCAGATGCTTAGAATCGCCCCGCAGTTTGCGACTTTTCCCTTTGCCATTCTATCGCATAACGTCTGCAAGAGGTGCAAATAGTGTAGAAAGGTTATGCAAAACGAGCTCTATCCAACGATACCAATTATTAAAGATTTTACCCAAAAGTGAAGCAATTCAATTGATTTTACAAAAAATTCATCGGACGTGCGCTAAGGTGTGGCTAGCCAATCAGAGGCCAGACTTCAGCTGTGGCGTCAGTTTTGCGCATGAACCCCCCCCCCCTCTCCTCCTCCTCCTCTTCCCCCTTTCCCCCGTCCGCGTTTGAGCGGACGGGCAACGCCGCTAGTCTACACTACATAAAGTAAGCTTCAAGCAACGCCAAATCTACAATCTACACTTATCATGCGGCAAATGTTCTGCTTAGTGGCGCCTCATGCCCGAAAATTTTATCATTTTAGGCCTGGTCTTGAACAGTTATTTTTTGAACATAATTCCATCGAAAACCTAGTCTATCTCCTTGCCGTGCCGCTCAAGTCATACCAGCGTATATTCTCCTCTTCGGTTTACACCTCCCAATATACTAAAACGAACGATTCTCCTATGGGAATTTTGTGTTTGCCTCGCGAGATTCAACTCAAAATCTTTGCCGAACTTGGTACTAGAGATTGCACCGCACTTGGCCTCACCAACGCATATCTCTGGGGTCTCGCACTCCCGGTCCTCCACGACAAATGGGCCGCACGCTTGGGTGCTTGGGCAGGAGAGAAAATCGTCTGCGTTGGGGAGTTGGTCGAGCCCGGAGATTATCCCCCCGGACTTTTCTCAGACGCTGAGATTCTCTCCTTCGACGAGCCTGAAATAAGAAGTGTACTTAATATTGATCCTTTTTTCGGCTATAGGCCTAGGTCTGTAACATTATATGACTTCGGCTCTCACGTAATAGGCCGCGAACAAGAGCTTGGAACTATATGGAAGGGTATGAAAAGAGACAGACTTCTCCTTAAATGTATTAACAGCGTGGCCGACCATGACATTGTGTGGAAGGGTCCAGGAAAGCATGACTTCAAGAACTTCGAAGAGCACTGTTTCTATCCACGAGATCAACCGTGGGTCCTCCGTAACTTAACGACCAAGGAGTTTGTTCGGTCCGAGGCCCTCGCTCTAAAGCCAGAGTTCATACAGGGGCCAAGAGTTCAAGGCATAGGCTTCTCGCACGCTATCTTGTCTCGTATCTGCTGGTCATCAGCGCCAGATATCGATATGGGAGACCCAACAAGAATCACAAGAGGGGTTTGGGCAGGGCATTGTTTTGATATTACGCAGCTCTCAAAACATATCGAGCTGACTCAGGGAGAAACATGGATCGATGTAAGCAGCGAAGTGATGGATGATATTTCTCGTATATGGGAGCGCAAGTATGGATCTGATTGGCAAGAGCGCGTTATCGAGAACACAGAGCGGCACGGAATTCACACGTCCCTGGATATTTATGATGATTTATAATTGGAAATCTTGTAGTTGCGAGTTGCTAGGCTGCTAAAGATTGTGCTGGATTCTTTAGCAAAGTCATCTTTTGCTGTATCGTTTTCATCTAGGTCGGGGACCTAAATTTAATAAGCTACTCTCTACCTACGAATATCTGTTCCCCAGGCTTGAGAAGGATTTCAGGGGGGCCAAAATGAACATAAGTATCAGGCAAGGTTAAACGCTTTAGTGAGTTCCTACCACAAAATATAGCCATGGCAAGTAGTACTACCCGGTCATTTAATCATAATGATAAGAGTCTACTGACATAGCACGTACACGTTTCAGCTTTTACCTCGCACAACCTCAACTGTTAAGTTTTCAGGCCAGACAGGCTCATCGACGCCATTCCCTCGTGTGCCGATATGGTATCCCAAATCGACAGCTTCATCAGCAAATTGTGCGACGGGCTTGACTTGGACGAACGTGGCCCCTATATTCTTCGCTTCCTGTTCTTGGAAAAAGACAGGATTAAAAAGTACCTGAGAATCGTGTTGATTTAGCAATTTTAGCATTGCTGGCAACGAGTGTGGCATTGCGTGGTAATAGCGGAATACTGGCGACCCATGTCTCTTCCACAATTCGGTCCATATCTCATCGTTGTAGGTCCCGACGGAACGGACTAGCCATTGGGAGTAATAGTTGAGTGCAACCTGATAGAGGAGAGAACTGGTAAATAGCAAGAACATGGTTGAGAGAATAAGAAATGTGAGGGGTAGAATCAACTTACGTCGACACCATAACTACCTCCATGTTCAGCTCGTCGAACAAGCGCTTCTAAAACGCCAGTACTTCCACAGATGCCGGTACTATAGCAAGATATTAGCATAAAACCTATCACGAGGGGCTCCCTCAAGCCGGATTAATACTTACCAGTAGTCTGAATTCGGAAAAACCGGTGTTACTGCTTCATCATTTCCCATGGCTCTGCCATACGACATCGAAACACCGCAGCACTATATTAAATAGAGTGTAAGTAACACTGAGAGGTCACATCCACGGCCATCATGCCAGGTACATACCGCATCACTAATCTGCTGCCAACCGCTCCGATGAGCCCAGGGACCACGCCAGCCGTAGCAATTTTCCCGAACGGCAATAATACCACGGGGGCGATCCTTAACAAGATCGAAGATAGCCTGGCGTCCGAAGCCAAGCCTCTCCATTACGCCCGGCCGGTACCCGTCAACAACAACATCAGCCTCCCGGATCAGCGCCCTGAGCTTCTCCTTATCTGCTTCGTTCTTCAGGTCCAGGAAGCAGTTCCACTTGCCCCAGTTGAGATCCTGGTGCAGGGCAGACATATCCGTGACGTTAGGCGATGTGACGCGCATCACGCTGGCGCCCATCTCGGCGAGCGAGCGCGTGATTGTGGGGCCGGCAATGACGCGGGCCAAGTCGACGACTTTGAGGCCGGCAAGCGGCCGCTTCGCAGAGGGCGGGTAGCTCGCGTTGTCGGGCCACCATGCCGCTGGCTGCGAGGAATTGGGGTCCTTGGTCGTTTCGTAGAGCCCGATTTTCCCGGACGCATGGCCGTGCTCGCTTGCGAAGTACTCGTCAGACGTCCATGCGATCGTGCCCGCTTGGCGGTACTGCTCGTTGATAAGCTCATCTAGTGCTGCAGAGTCCAACTGGGAAATGACGCCCTGAATCCTCTCCACCGCGGAGTCGTATGTGTCATTCTCTTTCCCATCGAGTGGTAGTCCCAGCGCTGTAAGTGTAGGGTTGGGGTTCATACTACCTAAACAATGCCTACGTTGTAAGTAAACATTCAAGGTAACGCCGAGATAAGGCTATTGAAAATGTATCCCTACCGTGGATGTGGTAGAACCGCCCATCTTTCGTCTTGTAAATGTTCGTGGCGAGAGTCCTATGCTGAGAACCCGCAGCCCTATGCAGGTCACGGTTAGGGAACCATTCTGAAATTTCTTTCGAGAACAGGTTTATCCGTACTGGGCGACTGTCTTTGACGACGCGTGCAAGGAACGGGGACATGAAAAATAGCGAAGCGTGGTCCCTATCGATGAATTTTAGCTACCTGGTACCCCCCCTATTCATAATAAGGGATGTCACTTACGTGTTTATACTAACATTAGAAGGCGCGACATTATATTTCTTAGTGATAAGGTAGTTGAGCATAGTTGCTTCGAAAGCCTTTATCGCTGAGATGCTCTCAGCGAATCGCCAGTTGATTGGGATACTAGGCTTAGCGGATCCTTCAAACTGGACGATTTGACTCAAAGACTGCAACTCCTGTGGTAAACCTTTCATAAGGGGGTTATTAAGGATGCCATCTTGGAAGAGTCTTTGAGCCTCTTGAGGCACTGAGTAACCTGTGGAGCTCATGATTCACAAAAGGCATACAAAAGTTTGATTGGTGTATGGGTTGAATACCTATTGTGGTTTCGCAGTATCTTGTGATATGAAGAAGCAATTAACCTAGCCAACTATATAGGTAGTTAACTACATTTATAAGAGAGCTTGTGAAGACACAATTCGGGCTCAAATGATCCCGGAACCCTTATTTTCAATAAATAGTGGAACTTGTTTTGGTTTCCTTCCTAAAGGCCGGGTTATAGCACGGCGTTCGGGGGGTCGGACGCGGGATTCGAAAGACTATAGACCGGCGTGATGCCCAATTTGTAGGTAACCAAGGATTAACTGCAACCTGGATAGAAAGTGATTCATTTATTAACTGGTGAGTTGACCTTAGTAATATAATAGATTGACGGTTAACTACTTCGGAGTTTGCTCTGGTATAGTAGTACCATAGTGCCATGTCACATCCCAACTCAGGAGAAGACTACTCCATCAACAAATTATATTGCTATTCGGATGCAGGGTCTGTGCCCCTACGCACGGCCAGGGTATCCAAATCATCTCAATTCTTCTTAACCTCCCAGCCTATCCATCCTTCGTCGCGCATACCCATACTATATTACTAAGAGCAGGAAATGGCCAAAACGATCCAGGGGAACTAATAAATTCATTAGTTATATGCACCGAAACCTCCAAATTAACATGGCTATCAACGAATTCCATTTATTCTCTTGTCTCCCTCCAGAAATCCGACACGAAGTGTTTCTCTTGGCTACACCGCCCCGCATCGTCCATATTTCACAAAAGCATGAAGACATAGAAGACTTCCTCGAGCGATTCAACAACTTACTTCCAGGGCAGGTTAAATTAGATCCATCCTTAACCTACTTTGCTCGGAACTGGCGCGAACGAATCTTGTCGTATGGGGATATTTGGTCGCAGAGGAAATTGGAGTCTTGCGGATTTACAACCTCGCGCCCAATACAACATCCATGGGAACCCTCTAAGTTAACTCCTGAGATTCCTGTTCCTTGGTTATTCGAACATCCCGACGTAGCATATGAGCTCCTCCGAAAGAGCGTTCTCTATAGTAAAGCGCCTATTCCGGCGCTTCTTCATACGTGTGTAGAATCGCGACGCGTGTTGATCGACGCCGGGTACCAGCTCGCATTCGCGTCTCGTTACCACGGGCCATGGACTTGGTTCAACTTTAAGAACGATGTATTATGTCTCAAATATAATGTAATAACGAACGACGTTCCTCTATTAGACAATGGCCCATGGGGCACTGGAAGTTTTGATCCTCAGAGCTTACAGCAAGTTCGAAAACTAGCGATAGATGTTGCGCCACCCCCCCTTTTAACCTCGGACTATGAATATGACACGCGAGATTGCGCTTTGAGTACAATCCGACTACTACCCAAGCTTGAAAAGATATATTTTATTGAATGGAACCTACCAGACTTGGACAAGTACTTACGGAAATCGTCCATATCATCAACGCCAAGCTCCTCAGATGGCGATACAGAACGAGATCCGGTTTCTTATGGGCGCGAGGCCTGGCGATTTATTCCCGTTGAAGAAGTTGACGCCTTGTTCTCGTTGATCATTCGACACCCTTACCGGTCCCTCGAGGTCGGCTGTATGGGCTACGGTGCATGGCGCTTGATGAATTTCAAAGTACCTGCTGGAGAATACTTCTCCTACGTCAGAGAGTATACTAGGAACTGTATCAGGGCTGATATGGATAGGGTGGCGAAGGAAGAGTCCGTAACCCCTTACCAGGTACCCGAAGTTGAATTTGGGCATATCTGTACGGAAGCTGTGGGCAGAGAGCTATTTAACGATCGTCAGGAGGTGTGGAGGCAGTACCAGTTGCTAATCAATGGAAAAGAGCCTCCTCGGCCCAGGCCGATGACGCCAACCGATTTATATTATCAAGATGATTGGGAAGCATATCACGAAGCCCACTGTCCAATCCAGCAAGAATCGCATTCGGCGGGGTATTTGCTGAAGCATAGGAAAGTTCATCAACCAAGAAGAGAACTGCTAATGGAGCCATGAAAGTCAGTCATGCCTCGCAGTTATATTGAGCGCCTTTCGATGAACAGGTTATTATGTAATAGGACACATACTAACCCAGTCGATGGTTTTTACATTATCCTGTAACCTAGTTAATTAATCCATAGAATCTTTCAGAAGAAAAAGAAAACGCCTCAAAACAAACTACAGTACCAGTCCGGTAGCGTGGTGCATGTGACAAGGATGAGGGCAAATCATAGCGATACTATTTCTATAATTATTTGATCGAGATGAGGGGCCGTGAGGAGATGGGGTGATTGATTATTGCTAGTTATGATTGACTGTCAGATTCTCGTCATCGACCCCTTTTTATGACACAAATGTGCAGCTTTCGTAGCAAAAGCTCCTTAACGAATTCTTGATATAAAGGCATTGCGATCAAACCTACCGTGAGATGTTACCAAACGTTCAGTTCACTAAACATATCAGATTTATTAGAAATAATATACGAAGTTAAATTAGAACAAATACTAATATATCAAAATGCCTTCGTAAGTACTCCCGCAGTGAGCTCAACTGCTAAATGATTTCGATGCTTTTCAATTTTATCAGGTATATTAAGCTAACCTAATACTTTACAGTACTGGCAACACTCCAGAAATCTCCGGTACCAAGATCGAGCCACTCCGATCCGAAGTCAAGTATAACACACCGTACGAAGGGACAGACCGCGGCTCGGTGGGTTCTGACCAGACCATCGACCAAGCCCGAATCAACCCTCTCGGAGGCAAGGGTAAGTATGATAGTCTTGGTAGTCTTATATAACCATAACTGGTGTTGTGATGACTGACCCAGTCTTATTCCATTAGGCAAACACCAACACCCTGCTCCACATGCCGACAGCCAAGGGGTAGTTGGCACAGCCGAGGGACTCGGGCAAACAAAGATTGAGCCTCTGGATAGTGATGCAAAAGACCCGCAGAACCCAAGGACGGGTTTGGACGACGAGGCAGTCGATGCTTCGAGAATCTATCCACTTGGTGAGGTTAGGGAGGACTAGGGAAACTGATATGTTATTATCACTGTAAAATAGAACCAATTTCTAAATGAAAGGAGAATGTAAGAAATGGGAAAGATGGATTTGTGAAACCGTATTTGAATAATATGAATTTGAGGAGGATGTGATACTAAGGAATTAAACAAGATATCGTGTTAAAGAAATAATCATTGTAACCATAATATTTACATACATACGTCGTTATCTCTTATCGCAGCATCTAAAGTCCCAAGCTTCAATATCTTAAGAGGTACCTACCTACGTACATACCATACCTTCCTCAATTCTACAAACATCCTATTGCTCCTAAGCAATTCCTGCTCTTCTTTTTAGAGGGCTCATTACTTCAAGAACCTCTATAAAAACAACAATACCTTCACCAAATCCCAATAAACATCTCCTAACCTTCCCTTCCCTTCCCTTCCCCTAATCAACAACCACAATGCCATCAGATCTATCCAACTACCTCGCAACGCACTACCTCATCGCCGACCCCAAGCCCTCCAAGAAGCGCAAGCGCAAGCAAAAAGACGATTCCTCAGGCCTCATCATCGCCGACGAAACCGAATCCGGCTGGGCGCGCCCGAACCGCGGCGACAACAACGACGACGAAGACGAAAATGCTTCCGCAGTAGTAGCCGGCACCAGCGCCGAGTTCCGGCGGGCCAAGAAATCCGCGTGGAAAACCGTCGGCGGTAGCGCCTCCAGCAGCACGGAGACCCAAGCCCAAGCCCAAGACGCCGAAGCGGCAAGGGCAGCAGACGCCATCCTCGCCTCCGCCGCCGCCGAGACAGCCGCAGCCGCCGCCGACGAGGACGCGTCGGGCAACGCCCCCGCAGTCATGATGATGTCAGACGGCACGCACGCCGGCCTGCAAAGCGCATCGGCCGTCGCCGCACAGCTCGAAGCGCGCCGGCGCGCCGAGAGGGAAGAATACGAGCGGGAGGAGGGGGGGCGCCATAAGAAGGGCAGCAAAGGCGGCGGCGAGGTAGAAACGATATACCGGGACGCGACGGGCCGACGCGTAGACGTGAGCATGAAGCGAGCGGAGCTGCGGCGGGAGGCAGCCGAGGCGGCAGCCCGCGAAGCGGCCAAGACGGAAGCCCTGCGCGGCGAAGTCCAGGTCGAGGCGGCGCGGCGGCGGCGCGAAGAGCTCGAGGACGCCAAAGTCATGACGGTGGCGCGGCACGCGGACGACGTCGATATGAATCGTGAGATGAAGGAGCAGGTGCGGTGGGGCGATAGCATGGCGCGGTTTATAGAGCCCAAGGGGGCGGGAGACGGAGGTGGGGGGAAGACGAGGAAGGTAAAGGGCAAGCCGATATACCAGGGCGCGTGGACGCCGAATCGATACGGCATCCGGCCGGGGTATCGATGGGATGGTGTCGATAGGGGGAACGGGTTTGAGGCAGAGAGGTTCAAGGCTATCAATAGACGGGAGAGGAACAAGGGCTTGGAATATTCGTGGCAGATGGACGAGTGATAAGCATTAAGCATTTACTAAGTAAATCTACGATCATGCACGGGATAGGGGATTATAATCAGGAGTTGAATTAGTGAGATACCAACTGTCTAAGACTAAGGCAGTCAACGCAGTAAGCCATAGCGCAATATAAATTGTATAACCTAATCTCTACGGATTGGCCTGTAAGTCCATTTTATCGGCATGCCAGCCCTCGTGTAGAAATGAAAATAATACGAGACCCTAAGGCATATTCGCAGGAAATATAGGGGGCATACTATCTAACCTACTCCCTTTCCATAACGATCCTGTCTCCAGCAGCGGAGATAAACCCCCCTCCAACCTCTCTCGTTCACTATCGGCATAATGCCGCATCTAACGCAACGCATCTTCCAAAGCTCTATAGCTTTAAGGTAACGATTTGGGGGCTGCAAGAATCATAAAAGGTGATCCTGTTCACGATATAACACTTCCTGCAGGTAAAGGCAAACTGTAGGATAAGATTACCCCATCCCGGGGAGCGATCTAAGCCTTCCGGCGAAGTAGTTTCTCGGCTGTGTTGAAGTTGGCATTCTCTTTCACCAACTTGAGCCAGTCTTTCCTCTGCATGCATCCAGGTTTATCCAGACGATCCTGGAATTTCTTCAGGAGTAGGACAATAGTAATACCTTGAGGGAGCGGTGGTAGGGCATCGATAATCTCCTGGGCGGTGATAGGGTTTGTGATCCCTTCCGGTGTCGAGCTCTGAGCAGGAGCACTGGGAGAACCAGCTCGAGTACCACCCGATGACCCTTTAGTAGCAGCTCCTTGGGGTGGAGCGGGACTGCCGGCTCGGGATCCCGCGGGGGTGCCTTTTGCGCTTTGTTTCCCGCCTGCAGCTGACGGGCCAAGCCGCTTCTTCTTGCCTCCTGCACCGTCCGACATCTCGCCAGCCGTACCTTCACCGTCGCTCGTAGAGCCGGCACCGGGCTTCCCGCGACGAGGTAATGGGGTATTTCCGCGGCTATCATGTGTAGTCTTCTTCTTTTTCCGAGTAGATTCGGTACCACTAGAATCCGAACCCAATGGAGACCCGGCTCGCTTGAGAGACTTGCCCTTCTTTGCTGCCTCGGCTGCTGCCTTTTTCCCTTGGGGGGTATTAGTTCCTTTAGACGACACTCCGGCATCTTTATCTTTATCCTTCTCGGCTTTCTTATCTTCATCATCCTTCTCGTTTTCAGAATCGGAATCTGACTCATCCTATAGTTTGATTAATTTTGATCAAACAATTAAACAGGTAACTGGCAAGCACTTACGTCTGAGGAAGCAAAAGGGTCCCTCTCTTTAGAAGAGTCGCTGTCGTACTGGAATTGTTTATCACGTCGCTTCAAAGCCTTCTTGAGGGATTTTCCGAAAAGCTTTCGCTCCAACTCTTCCTTCTTCTCCTCGTCTTCTTCTTTCTCAACCTTGACCTCGTCCGCGTCACCGAAAAGATTCGCATTGAGCTGGTCGCGGCGGATTCGGCTATTAGCATGCTTGGTGTCCTCATCTCGGTCAGGTTCGTATCCAGCAGTCTCATCATCATCTTGGAATTCGTCTCCCGAAACGTCAATGTCATCATGGTCCATCTTCTCCTGGCGTGAAGCTTGCTTGAATGTACCGCTTTCTTGTTTAACCGCCACCCGGCCATTGACAATAGCTCGAGACTCTGCCATAGCCCTCTCCGCCTCTTGGCGCTGAGTATCTCTTACCGCCCAACGACCAAGAGCGACCTTCTTATTCATGGCCTTTTCTGCCTCCTCAATGGACATTATTTTGAATGATCCACGCTTCGATTGAAACTTATACCATTTTTCCAGAGGTATCATGCGAAATCCCCCGTTGTGAATCTTGAAAGCAACTTTGCAGTCAGACAAAGGTGCCTCATACTGGCCAACCCAAACATTCTTTCCATCGGCATCCTCCAAGTGCCACGGCAGCGCCTCCTCATATCGAATTTCGGCTTGCTTTTTCTGCTCTTCGGTACGGGGTGCGTAGTGAATTTGTAGGCCAGGCTTTTTCTGTTCTTTCTGCTGCTTGGCCTTCGGGTTTGCATCCTTAACAACCGGTGCTTTCTGGGCATTATCGGCTGCGCGCTGTGCTTCTCTATCTGCTTTCACCTGCGCAAGTCTTTCAGCTTCAGCAGTATCGACTGTGTCTTCCTCCATGGGAACTTCCTCTTTCACTTCGCGACCTGGAGGCGGTTGTCTGGGATCGCGTCGGTGCAACGTAACAGGACGAGTAAACTCATCCTGATTGGTAGGGTCAACTCCAGGACCATCAGGCTTTGCGAGCTTTCCGCCATGCGGGGCAAATCGCATAACATGGAAGCGTAATCCTTCCTTCAGGGACTTCTTTGTGACATAAAGAGGGTAGTCTTGGGCGCCAGGCGGCGTAGGCTGAGACCATCCGCCATTCTGTGTACGCAATACATCGAAGTTCAGTTGCCCCGGCTTGCCTTGGGTTTGGAATTGCTGCGGCTTACTGGCAGGTCGCGGTGCAGCATTTGGTGTAGAACCTCTAGCAAGGGTCGAAGGGGGTGGTCTGTTTATGGGCTTCTTTCTAGGGACGAGGGGATTCGCAGTATTTCGTGGTCTTCGCAGCGGTGGCGCGCCAGGAGGGGGGGTTGGTTTCTGGCCGTTAGGGCCACCAGAGGGCGAGGGTGTAGCACTCATGGCGGTAATATCAGAAGTTGGCACCCTCTAACTAACGGGCCTCGACAAGTATCGAAGACGGCCTAAGCGGTGACCTATTTCGCTAAGCGTCACAAAAGAGCATCGGTGGATCGAGGAATATACTAGAAGACGATAAGACGGTCGCAAGACGAAGGCTGATTTGGATCAAGATATTGGCAGACGAATCGAATGTCGCGCCCGGATCAAATGTTTTAAGGAAGAATAAAGATGGAAAATATTATTCCAGAAAGGTGCGCAACCTCTAGTCAGGATTGCAAGATGAAAATGTTTTCAAAAAAGACAAGGTGCAAGGTGGCAGGAGAAAATGCCAACTGAATGGAGGATGGAGGATGGATGGAGATGAAGTGAATGTGTAATGAATAGACAGAATAGAGGAAGTTTGAAGGTGCAGTCAAGTCAGAATCAGCCGTGGATCTAATGCGGTAGAGCCTGCCACTGCAGTATCAGTGTCTTGCTTGTCTGCCTTAGGTACATATAACTTGTACCAAGGCAGCAATGATATGGATGTACCTACCTAACTTTTTATTTTTTTTATTTTTTTTAGAGGTACGTAGCTTTGTTTTGTCATTCGAACGCAGGCAATTTTAGAACAAAGGCAACCAGGTCCTATGTACATTAGGTACATACATAGAGAGCCGCTTGCCAAGAGAGGATGGGGAAGGTGGAACTCTGTGGGGCTTGCTATAAAGTACTTATAACGTCACTCGAGTAACTTTCAGTGACAGCTAGCCCAAGTAGCGCAAGTGAGACGTAGCGTAGGAGCAAAAGCTACAGGGTCCCAACCAGTACAACCCGAACAAGCTCACGTAAGTACTTATTCTCCGATCTAAGTCACCAATCTCACTAGCGTAAAAGCTTTGGCAAGATCCAATTACTGCCAATTCTCTTCCGGTGCAGCCAATCAATTGATCTTTCAAATATCAAAATCAAAATGCTACATATTGAATTTGCTATCGGCGCAGATAAATATATGTGCCTAGTTCGACATTCAAGAATGCGAGGCTCTTGTCTTGTACTCCGTTAGGTATAAACACTCTTATCCTATTTTCTACAAAACGCCTCGACCTAGTCACGTCTAATCTCTCACTACAAAGATCATACGATTGACGATTAATTGGTGTCTACTATTAAAATACATAACTACCAAACATATGATTATTTCCGGACTTCATCAGGAACAACCTTCACAGATCTCTTAGGACCTATCAACGAACTAATCAGTAACAACTCCAGTTCTTAGAACTTGCACACACAGTTGCTATAAACACTACCCCCAGAAACTTATGACCATGAGCATGGATTTCTAAACCACAACCACTACGAGCATCCTTACTTTTGAGACTGTCTCCTGTGAGGCTTAATCAAAAAAATATCCCGATTATGCTTCGAGGTACTTAAGTCTGTCTTCAGATCAGCTTATGCAACATCCCCATCCCTCCAACCTCACAATTACCTTAGTCCCGATATTTGTTTTCATGCTATCATACTATGCAGGCCTCCCAAGACGGTAGTGGTCCGCTCGAGGACCGCCTACGCAGCCTCATCATTAGCAATGCAGAAGGAACGACTACACACGCCATTCAAAGCTCAGCTACTTCTGCAAGAACAGGAAGTATCTCTTTAGAGGATGGGTCTGAAGTCAAACAAGGATGGCCGGAGGCAGGACAGTCATCTCCTTTAGTCCAGGCCCCTACTAAACCTGGCAAGAAACGTCCAAACCAAGCTGAGCGCCGCAAGATGCAAGCCCAGCTATCCATTCCTATCGACACCAGAGCTCCGGCACCCTATGATGGGAAACCCTATGCAAATTCCCACCATAAAAAGAACCAGCGTTCTTCGTGGCACAATACTGAGCAGGATACTTTTCGCCCTCCTTTAACTACATATAATGATCAACCCCAGGGTCGTGCTATTAACCCTTCTTTCTCAAATCAGCGACGCCATCAAGGCAGATTTGGTCAAGTATCGGCGTCTGTCCCAGGCCACCAGCCACCTCAGAGACAACAATCGTATACGCAAAATCCTTTCCCAAAGGGCGTTAACGTTATATCAGCAGATTCATTCGCAGCCCGTGGCCCCGCACCCGCCTCTTCACAGTCTTGCCTCTATCATCCAAATGGACAGCACCGACCTATCTTCGATCCAGAGCAATTTGCGAATGAATCAGCCCATCTTGATGAACTTTGCCGTTTTGTGATTACGGGTGCGGAAATTGAGCCTAGAGAAATTGCTGAAAAAGAATACTTCCGTGCTCGAGTAGAGGCGATTTGTCGTGACGTTATCACTCGCCATGAGATCGAAATCAATGGAAACCTGGGTTTTCAGCCTTACACAGTTGAACTTAAATGCTTTGGAAGTCTTGCGTCTGGATTTGCGACGAAGGCTGCTGATATGGATGTTGGTCTTCTTTCTCCTATGTCGTGGTCT